CTGTAAGAAGATAGGGGCTTCTCTCTCTTTAAGGAGCGTAGGAGTCTGAATCATCAAGGGAGTAAAGGGGTTCCCATCCAACCAGATATGAGAACCTAATAGCCCTGGAAGAAGATTGACTACATACAGACTGTCAGAAAACAAATTCATGGGCTCACTTATCTTTGTTCATGCTAAAGCAATGGCCATGAGTTCCTTGAATTGAGCTGAGCCATCATGTGTGGACATATCTTTTTGGTTTCTCATCTGCCCCCAGGTATACTATCAATGCAGCTCCAAATCTGCCCCCATCAGTGAAAACATTGTAGGCTTTTACTAAGGGCTCCCTCGGCCCGGGATTTGGCGAGTGCTGCCACAGCTGGGGCTGTAACACTCGGTGGGGGGGGGGGTGGATCCCGCCGCCCACGGGATGGATGGGATGGGCGCCCTCCCCCCCCAGCCACCTTCCCTGAACCGGGCCTTCCCAGCTGTCCTGGAGCTGGTCGCAGCACACTGCCAAAGATGGTTTGTTTTTGTTTTGTTTTGTTTTGTTTTAAATGTGCCCGGCGGCTGCCACCAGCTGGGGGACGGTCCTCCGCCCAGCTTTCGCGTGGGCCCCTGACTTGCGCGCGTGTTAGTTCAAGGTGGGTGGGGTGGGGAGCTTTCACAGCCCACCCACACGCCCCACTCCACCTCGCCCTTCTGAAAAAGGCATCCGTGGGTCCTGTTTTCATGGGTCCCGGGAGGCTCTGAAGCTGGCCAGGGCACGCCTGAGGTGCCGCTTGTTACTTTGGCTGCTTTTGGATTCACTTCTGTTGCATCTCTGCCTTCTTCCTCAAACCTTTCCCATGATGCCCATGTATCCCCAGTAAAAACATTAGCCCTAAGTAGCCAGGGAGCCAAATGAACAGCCTCTGCCCAAACCTTTTGAGCTACGAGATCTGACAGATCCAATCCCCTGCTTTTAAACATATCTCTCAGTGCTTTAAGTGCCGGGTCCTCAGACTTAAAAGTTGCGTTACCCATCTTTCGGGTATTGCTTGCCCCGAACTTCCCGACTGGCCCCAATCCCTTATTTTTCTTCTTTTTTTTCTTCTTTTCACCTTCCTTCGAGAGCCACACTGGGCGCCAGTTGCGGGGGTTCGAACCAGCGACCCCCACGCAGTGATGATCGGGGATGAGTAAGCATGCCGTTCACCAGCCCACGCCGCCCCCAGTACCAGGGACAATCAGATGCAACAGGGAGCCTAGTCAAGCAGGGACTCATTTATTGCAGGTGTTGCAGAGCTTATAAAAGCACCTGGAACACCCCCCCACCTCCCCACCTCCCCGAGGATGTATCTTAAGGATGGTCACACGCTGATCATGCAGTCCTCAGCAGTGTAAGTATCCTTCAGACTTTTCAAACAATTCAGGCCACGCCCCAGCAACTTCCTCTCGGACCTCTGCAAGGTGGGGCCTTTAGGTCCCCACACAGATCTATAAGCTCCATGACTGTAGCCTGCTAAACCGCACTAGGGATGGGGATTCTGGAAAGGAAAAGTACAGTATCTCATCAGAACACTAATTATTCTGTTCATCTCTTTCTCATGGCTCAAGATGAATCCACTTGGGTGGGGGAGGGGTTCCTTTGACAGATGATTGACCTGCTCAACTGGAACGTCAGGTCTCTACCTAGGCCAGAGATTCAATTCTCTTGAGAAGAAGGAATTTTCTCTTAAGAGACCTTTATTGCTACTGTAACATAAGGTCTGGTGAAATTTCCAAGACAGGCCTTGATCTCATGGAGCCTTGAGCTTCCTATCCTCTTACCTTAATCTCCTGTTACAGGAATACACCACCACATCTGGCTTTCTTTTGTGTCTGTAGTGTTAGGGCTCGAACCCAGAGCTACCCTCATGCCAGGCACATACCCTGCCACAGAGTTGTACTCCAGCCCCCAGCCCTGCTGTTAGAATAACTAGAAAAAGAAACATCTCTTGAAGGAAAATTTCAGTCAACAAGTGTACACAACTCCCGAGAGATGGGATTTTAATCAAAGTGTGAAGAGCATGAACCCTCCCCAGGAAGTCCCTTTCATTTTCTTTCAAGGCCCTAAGCAGAGACCATTCTACAGTGACACTGTGGTGGCATAGGCCTTTAGTCCCAGCACTTGAAATTCAGAGGCAGAGGCAGATCTCTGTGAGATCAGGCCAGTTACATACTGAGTTCCAAGCCAGCTGGGGTTACTAGGAGAACTTGACTGCAAAAAAACAAAACAAAACAAAAAAAGGGGGGCTTATGGCATGCTGGACTCTATTGTCCAGAACAGAGAAGAGGTTCCAAGATAACACCAGTGAGAATTGGGCAAGGACGCCCTCACCCAGATCCAGTGAGAATTGGGCAAGGGCGCCCTCACTCACCCAGATCCAGATTACTTGGCACTCAGGAGGAGGAGGTGTTTGGTCTTGCCCTGCAGAGTTCAAAAGGCCAACAAACTTCCTGCTGGAGAGTAAGAAGAAAAGTGAGTTCACTGTTCTTGCACCTCTGGGGTCAGCTGCCCCTCCTCAGCCCAGAGAAATGACAAGCAGACCAAAGACCTGTGTACCCCACCTGTGAGGCAAAACCCTCCAGAATGGCTGCGGGTCTCCTTGCTTTCACTCCGCTGAGGGTCCTCCCACACCTCCCCTTCTGTGAAGTGTGGAATTGGGGCAGTTCTTTTCAAATGACTTTCAACCCTATGAAACGGCTCTTCAGACTGAAATGAAACCTATGGACACAAGACTCCCTGCCTCCCCATCCTCTCACCCCATCCCCCACCATGAGCAGGAACCAAGGAGCTGGACCTAGTGACATGTGGAATATGCATGTGCTCACACACTCCAGTGCATGGCAGGGGCACTCTGCTGACCCCTTTAACACAAGAATCCATTGAGGTTGCACAGAAAGACTAGGAAAGTGAAGGATGTTGGGAGGAAACGGCCAGGAGTCTGGTTGAGTCAGGAACTCCAGCACAAGGGGGCTGGAGAGAAGGGTCAGCATTTGAGTGCACTTGCTCCACAATCATGATGACTGGAGTTCAGGTACCAGGCATCCCCACAATGCCTGCAATTCGAGCTCCCAAGGAGGAGGGGGTGGAGATAGAAGGATCTTTGAGGCTTGCTGGCTTCCAGCCTAGCAAAGATGGTGTGAATCTCAGGTTCAGGGAGAGATCCTGTCTCAAAAAACGGGTCCTCTTAAGGCCTCCATGTGCATGTATACACACACACACACACATAAATAAATAAATAAGGCAGGGTTTGGTGGTACATGCCTTTAATCCCAGCACTTGGGAAGCAGAGGCAGACAGATCTCTGTAGGTTTGAGGTCACTCAGGGCTATGTAGTGAGATGCTGTCTCAACAAAAAAGCAGAGACTGGAGAGATGGCTCAAGGTTAAAAGCACTAGCTGCTCTTGCTGGGGACCCAGATTTGGTTCCCAACAGCAATTTGGTGGCTAACTTCATTTGTAACTCCAGTTCCAAGGGATCCAGTGCCCTCTTATGGCCTCTGAGGGCATTGCATACACATGGTGCACTTACATGAATGCAGGCAAAACACTCATACATGTTTAAAAAAATAAATAAAAATTTAAAATAACTAAATCTTATAAAAAATAATCCCAGCTCAATAAACATTCATTATGAAACTTGCCCACATATTCCTTTTATGAGAGGAATTTTTAATCAGCTGTGCTTAAGGCCTGAATATGTGTGGCCGTAACTCCTTTGCCAGATGTAAACCTGAAATTTTCTGGAATCTCCAAATCTCTTTCTTTTTCTTTTTCTTTAAGACAAGGTCCCATGTATCCCAGGCTGGCTTTGAACGCATCATGTCACCAAGGATGGTCTTGAACTTCTCATTCCTCACCTCCTTCCTCCCAAATTCTGGGATTACAGGTATGTACCACCAAATGCAGGGTTTATACACATCAGAAATCCAGCCCAGGGCCTCCTGGATGCTAGGCCAACACTCTACCACTGAGCTACATCCTCGGCCCCAAGATACAAGTTTTCGTTTACAGTAAAAAATCTTAACTTTTCCTGCAACCCTTGCTACCAAGGGTTTTACCTTATTAGCATTTATCTTACCCAAGGTACCTCAGAAACCACCCCACGATCTCATTAAGTTCCTTAGCAACCATTGGAGATGTAACTTTAGAAACCACAGAAATTGTACATCAGGCCGCTGTAAAGACCTGACTACTCTTGAGAAGTCCACGCCCACATCTGGGTGTCCTATCCTTTCCCTGAGCAACTATTAAACCCCAATGCTCAAATCTATGCTAAATCTCTTCTTAAGAATCTCCAGTTCTTCCTCATACTGGCTGGTCCTGAAATTCTTCTCTGCAGGGAAGTCAAGATTTCCAGTTTTACCTGAGTAGAGTTCTCTAAGAGGAACTTCTTAGGCTACTGCAGGCACTAGCATGAGCTCTGTCTCAGCCCATGACTGCCCACAGATGAGCTGGGAGACCCTGTCGAAAAAAGACTAAAAAAAATTATATCAGGGAAACCAGGTCCAAGAACTCATCCGACACACCAAGCCAAGCGTGGGTATAACTCCCTCACCTGGATCCCATAAAGTGATGGACACCTACCAGTGTGATGGCCCACACCAACCTGTCATCTTGCAGGGAGATGATCTTCTACTCCAGCTGTTAGGGGAGCAGAAAATCACACTGCTTTAACTCTTCTAGAAAGTGACTCAGTTACCCAGCATCCCCAGGCACCGAAGCCTCCTAACCCACTATTGCTCAGTGAAATGTGCTTTGATTTTCCTTTTCTTTTTTCTTTTTTACATCCCTTGGGGATTGGACTCAGTTGCCTCTGGAACAGACCAGCCTCTCTGGATCCTGCTTTCGGGAGTTTCCATGGAAAGAGGAAGCTCACAGATTAGTGTCCAACATCTGAAAATTAGTCAACATGGTTCCACACTTTGTAGCATCGGAACCATACAGGGAAGATTAGCATGGCTTTCAATGCAAATTCATGAAGCAGTCCATATTTTTAATAATAATAGAGGACATGAGGGGCTGGAGAGATGGCTCAGTGGTTAAGAACACTGAATGTTCTTGCAAAAAACCCTGGTTCGAATCCCAGTACCCATATGGCAGCTAACAACTGTCCGTAACTCCAGTTCCAGGGGATCCAACAGCCTCTTCTGTCCTCCTCAGGCACTGCATAACACAGGTGCACTTACTTACATGTGGGCATAACACATACACATAAAATAAAAAAATAAAAAAATAAAAAAAAGAGCACTGACTGTACTTGCAGAGGACACAGGTTCAATTCCCAGCACCCACATGGAAGCTACAAACTGTCCTTAACTCCAATTCCAGGGGAATTCTGACCTCTGTGGCATTGTGCAACACAGGTGTACTTACTTACATGCAGGCAATACACTCATACACATAAAATTTTAAAAAGTAAATAAAATATTTTAAAAAATAATAATAGAGGACATGAAATCAGGTGGGAGGGTAGTAAGGGGTGAAGATGAGGGAGGGGGTCTGAATATGATCAAAATACATCCTGTGAAAGCCTCAAAAATTCAATAATATTTTTTTTTTAAAAAAAAGCCTAAGGGAGCCTGGCATGGTGGTACACACCTGTCTGTAATCCTGGCACTGGGTAGGCAGAGGCAGGCAGATCTCTGTGAGTTCAAGGCCAGCCTGGTCTACATAGTGAGTTCCAGAATAGCTGGGGCTACAGGAAAACCCTGACTCCAAAAGATCAAAAATAATAAATAAATAAATAAATAAATAATAAGGGGCTGGAGAGATGGCTCAGCAGTTAAGAACACTGGTTATTCTTACAGAAGACCCGGATTCGAATCCCAGCACCCACATGGCAGCTACAACTGTAACTCCAGTCCCAGGGGATCCGACAGTCTCTTCTGCCTCCTGACCTCCGTGGCCATTGCACGACACGGGTGCATTTACCTACATGCAGGCGATACACAAATACACATAAAATTTTTTAAAAATAAATTAAAAAACAAAAATAAAATATAAATATTTTTAAAAAGAAAAAATTATGACTAAACTGGGTAAGACAGTGCACATCTTTAATTCCAGGTTGATCCCAGGATTTAGGAGGTAGAGGAAAGAGAATCTCTTCTGAATTCATGGCCAGCCTGGTCTATATAGAGTTCCAAGGCCAACCAGAACTAAAGGACGAGACCCTGTCTTAAAAAACAACAACAATGGGCTAGAGAAATGGCTCAGTGGTTAAGAACACTGGTTGTTCTTGCAGCACCAGCACCCACATGGCAGCTAATAACTGTCCGTAACTCCAGTTCCAGGGGATCTGATGGCCTGTTCTGTCCTCTGCGGGCATTGCATGACACAGGTGCATTTACCTACATGCAGGCAATACACTTATACACATAAAATGAAAATAATAAAATATTTTTTTAAAAAAACAGCTGGGCGTGGTGGTGCACGCCTTTAGTCCCAGCACTCAGGAGGCTTTGTGGATCTTTGTGAGTTCAAGGCCAACCTGGGCTCCATAGCGAATCCAGGCCAGCTGGGGCTACAGGGAGACCCTGTCTCAAAAAAGTCCAAAAAGAAAAAAGAAAGAACAACAACAACAACAACAACAACAAAACCTCATCTTTAACGGAAATAATAATAAAATAGTTTATTCACCTGCCCAGTGACACTTGGGAGACCAGGCCGGAGAATCGAAAGTTCAGGTCTCTCTAGGCTACAGAGCCAGACTGATGGGACACTGAGGAGGGTAGGCGATAGGGCTTGCTTCTGGGTCTGAGACTGTGAGCTGACCAGATGAGAGGAGAGAAGGCCTCTGGGAAAAACAACAAAGCCAGTCACCCCAGGTTTCAGTGGGTCCCACAAAGCCCTCCCTGAGGAGCACAGCAGGGAACCATCAGCCTTAATAAGTTTTTCAACTTCCTAGCAAGCCACAGATTTCTACATTAAAAAAACAAAAAACAAAACTATGCTTTTATTTGTATGAGTGTTTTGCCTGCATGTATGTAAGTGCATCCATGTCATGCAGTGCCCATAGAGACCAGAAGATGGTGTTGGATTCCCTGGAACTGGAATTATGGATGGTTGTTAGCTACCATGTGGGTGCTGGGAACCGAACTCAGGTCCTCTGCAAGAGTAGCAAGTGCTCTTAACCACTGAGCATCTCTCCACTCCCCCTTTATACATGTCTATAATTGTAACAAACTGAACTGTGTGTGGGTAAGGGATGCCTGGGAAAGCCTCTATTTCCTGAAGGAACCCACCTCACCCAGGGACGCAAGGGGAGCAGAGATGGTGGATGGAGATCATGCCAGGGGTGGACTTGGCCTCTCAGCTGCTCCTCTGTCCTCTGCTCTGGAGAGTGAGTTTACCTCCATTTTTGCTTTCTCATCTGCTAAAATAAACATTGATTACAGCTGGGTGTGGTGGTGCACACCTGTATTCTTGGAACTCGGGGAACCAAAGGCAGGTGGATCTCTGTGAGTTCAAGGTCAGCTGGGGATACCTACTGAAATCCTGTCTCAAAAAAAAAAAAAAAAAAAAAGGGCTGGAGAGATGGCTCAGCAGTTAAGAACACTGACTGTTCTTGCAGAAGATCCGGGTTTGAATCCCAGCACTCACATGGCAGCTAACAGCTGTCCATAACTCCAGTTCCAGGGGATCCGACAGCCTCTTCTGTCCTCCGTGGGCATTGCATGACACGGATGCACTTACCCACATGCAGGCAATACACATAAAAATAATAAATAAAAGATTTTTTAAAAAGAAGAAAGAAAAGAAAAGGTTAGAAATCAATATTTTTACATTGGGCCTCAGATGGCCGGCTCTAGCAGAGGGAAAACTAACCCTTTTCTGGAAGTGTCAGGCCACCACAGAGTGCTCAGCTTCAGGGTGCTGGAGGCCAGCGCTCACCTAAGTGTCTGAACACATTCCTATTTACCTACTCACTACACAGGACACTGTCAGGTCAGATAAAGAAGTCCAGGTACAGGGCTCCTTGAAATGGTTTTGGCTTTCCATCTACAATGCTCTGCCCCACCACTCCACAATCGTGATGCTCTCTCTGTTAGTCAAGGTCAAGCAGTCAGCAGGCGAAAAGAAGAAAGATGAACAGAGAAGGGAACCTGGGGCTGTCAGGGAGCCCTGGTGGGGGTCTGGGTGTGCTGGTGGAGGTGGGGGAGCGCTGGTGGAGGTGGGGGAGCCCTGATGGAGCTCTGGTGGAGGTGGG